CACATTCGGCGGTAAGTAGTTAATTAATTTTGGATATTTTTTTTCCTTTTTATTGTTACTACTAACATTGATCAAAAATTTTAAATTTTAACATACTACTCGAAAACTGAAAGTGGATATTTTTCAAATCCGCCATTTTTTTTTTCCAAAATCCGCCATTTTTTTATTATTAGCTGTGATTTTATAAGCAAATAAAAAAAAATTTCAATTTCAACTAGGCATTGTTGTTATTGTAATTGCATTAAAAAATAAACTTAGCAGATTAAACCTTAAATTTCGCTTATTGGTATCGAGCTCCATCAAGTTCAAGTTTAATCAGTTGTAAAACAATTAAGAATTTTTTAAAGTTTATACTCCTATTTACCAATGTATAACTTCTTTATATGAGTGCTATGTTTGCATTCACGCACAAATTAAACAGAATGTTTTAAGTGTAACGTTTAGAGCATAGTTCAAAGCATGTAAGGAAATCTGAAAATAATTGTATGCTTCATTGAAACACGTTTAGACCTGAAGTAAAAGCGTAAAAATTCGAATTCACGTCTACTAGAATTGTACAGTGCTAAAGAAATGGACCACCCTGAATAACTTTTTATCCAATTATAGAATTTTTACGTTCGAAGTCGTTCTTTTAAAATTCGATTTCGCAGAACTATTCGACCGATTTCTCTCAAATTTTTTATTTCACCATGTAAAATTACATTCTTTAACGGAATGTAAAAAAATTGCATTCCTTATAATTCAAAAACTGTTTTCAATTGCTATTAATTAAATAATAAAAAATATTTGCCATAAGTTATTATTCGAATGGAATTATCTTTGAATAAACGAATTTTATAATTGTAAGCAAAAATTTTTAAATTCGTTTAAAAAAATTCTCGAGGCATGATGAACTACGAAAAAAGTAAAATTTACACTAAGGAACCCAAACTTTGACCCATTTCCTGACCAAACTTTTGTGACCATATTTCCCAGATTGCGGCTTTCCCTTATATTTCGGTAATTAGAAATCCAAATCCGTCGAAAAAAGGGTATCTTTATTCCCAGAAAGTACGTTTTTGTGTCTGATTTTGAAACTTATAATAACATCTACCCAAATTAATTCATAAATTAAAATTACAAATAATTAATAAATTAATGAATCACAAATAATAAATTAATTCATAAAGCATATTAGAGGTCATCCCCTAAAATCATTATGATCGAGTCCCTAGAACGTGAAGATTTGATCATTAGATCAAAAGTTATTCAGGGTGGTCCGTTTAATTTTTGTACATATTTTTGTAATAATAACGACATAAATCGTTTTATTCCGTTGTCACAATAACTAAGCAGAAGAGAACCACAAATGGAAATCTATACAGTGATTTGTTTTTCAATCGAAAAGCAAAACTCATGATGAACGATAATATTTAAAGATCTGTAAATAATACGCACAGAAATAACTTTTTATGTCAACCAAACGAAACTTCCCCTGGTTCACTTTGGGTCACGGCGCATATTGTTTGAAAACTGAAATAATTAATGAGAAGCACTGCTTTTTTTTAGTTTTTTGAGTTTAGTTGGAAGTAATGTGTTTTTTAACTGATTTCATTTCAATGCTTGCATTTTTAATAATTAAGAGGTTTTTTTTTTCCTTGGGGTCAATTAAATTACCTACTGTAGGGATTCCCAACAGCGTACGAAATTGGGGTCGTTAAGCCTTCTCCGAGATTGGTTAGTTCTCAATAACTAAATATTTAATCTGGTTTTATGTTCAAGTTCATAACACTGTAACGGGGAAGTGTAGATATAGTTAAGCAATACTTCTTATAAGGTTAATTCAATAATTTTTCAAGGTGATGTTTCTTTAAAATGTGGATTTATAATTCACAAATAATAATAATCAGAAACTTAAAGAAAAATTTAACAATTTTATTTTTGATCTCCAGAGAGCACATCCGTGTGGTCCAGTGACAGAACGGGAATAACTATTTAAATTTAAAAAAGGAAATAAAAGTTGAGTACGCATTGCTGGTGATTTAAATCATTTACAAAATCCTCCACACTCCTTAAGTAGAGAATTCTCAATACTGCGTCTATCTATTCCACTATTAGAGAATTTTATTCCAATTTCTATCCAAGTCTTGATAAAAAAATTTATATGGTATTAAGTAGTTTTTGCTCTGCAATGTAGTTATTTATTCACAGTAAGTTCAAGATAATATTTTATTCATAATAATAATTTAACTGAGAATGGTTTCTTGTTTTGCAATATCAGTTTGTAAACAAAATTATCCGTTATTGATATAGAGTTCCTTTGGTAGTGAAGATGTCTAAGCTGACGTCACTTCACTTTCCTGCCTTCAAATAAAATTTTAGTACCATTTTAAAAATGAAATTTTACTCAAAATGAGTGAAAGTTGGCAACTATGTAACAGTCAAGTAATATAGTTCAGCAAGTGTCTTGAACATCTCTCCTCAATTAACAGCACTTATTTATCAATTTTTGATGATACCCGCAGAATATTTACAATTGGGTACTTGCAACTCGAAAAGAAGTCAAGTATTTATGCCTAACCACATGAGTTATCGGATTTAATTGGATATATAAGCAACATCACACTTGTGTTGAACCTGATTGGTTTCTGAATCGACACATGCCCCGATACCACCTACAATGACGTCACTTGCAGGTATCCAATTATCAAAAGTCTTGTTGCACATCATAAGGTATAATTCGGCCCCTGGGATCAATACTATTTATTAGAATCTCGAGAATAATCAAAGTAATAATTTATTATAAGTTGTTATTATTAATTATCCCGTGATTATATTTTATAGATCCATTATCTCTTACTTGACGATTTTATTATTTTTTTTAATAATCTTTCTTATTAAAAAAATTACTTTTTGTCGTGTTTTACGTGTTAGATCTTATTTTAAAATGAATATGTAGGTTATATTAATTAAAAAATGATGTCCCGATAAAAACAAATTGTATCCATAACCTACATAACAATTCAGATTTTCTGCCTTAATTATTTTTAAACATTACAATGTATTATGATGAGCAGTAAAACCAAGGAAACGTCTATAACTTTCCCAACGCCCAAAATCTTTTATTCTTAAACAAAAGCTTACTTTTTTGCAAATAATAGCTTTCATTTCCTTTTTTCATTTGTTATATGATAAAGGGTAAACATTTCCAGGAAAAGGTAAGGTTGAGGGGGGGGGTTAGCTTTTGTTAAACTTTGAAGTTTGGGGCGATAGTAGATGCGTTGGTAACTAAACATCATTAAGAAAGCAATATCTTTTAATGAACCATAAAAATCTACCGTAAAGCTTCCCACCTCATCTTAAAACAACTAAATAAAGTGTGCAAAAATAAATATATCCCCCAACTTTTCCTTTAGTTTATCACATTAACTTTAACAAAAAGCAAACAGTTACTTTTTCAGTAAAATGTTTTACTTTTATGGCCCTTAAAAATATTGTTCTTCTTTTAATAGTTTTATTTAAAAAACGGCCATTAAGCTTTTTTTTTCACTTTTTCAGGGCTAATAGTGTTCTTAAAGTTTAAAAACGAAATTTTAAAAAAAACTTTATTTCTATTTTATTTTCTGAAAAATTGGATATCATGTCCCAAATTTTTAATAATGCTCAAACTATTTTTTTTTTTTTTTTACCTTTTTAAACTTTTTTTTCTATAGCGTAAAATGACCAGAAATGTGTTGCGTTACATTTTGTATTATTAATTAGTTCTATTTCCCTCCTTAAAAACTAAAATAAAACTATCTTATAGTTCTAATCTAGAAGAAAAAATAGTTTTTTTAATTACAAAATATTAAAAAATTTTTATTTAAAACTTATTATTTCTTCCAAACATTTATGAAATAAATCTATAATTTTTATTATTTACTTATAAAATATATGAATATTTTTTTTCATGGGAAAAAAAGTAATTTCGGTAATAAGCATTAAAAAGTTTCCACCTACCTGTAAATTATTAAGAAATAAAATCAATTTTTTTTTATTAAGCCATAGGAATATATTTCTTCTAAATTATTGTGGTGTAAAAATTTAAAGAAACTGATGAAAGTTGACAAAGGTATGAGGCATAAAATCTATTTATTTATAATAATGGAAATAACTTTAAAAGTCACGAAATCATGTTTTTAAAGTCTGAAACAAAAATAAATAAATAAAACTCTCAACTTGTATATCCGATTTACTTTTATTTTGTCTTGTTTGTTCATGTTCGCTATGCTTAACCGTTTAGTTTTCATTTGCGATTTAAATTCGATTTTTTTTTCACAGTCCATCAGAAATCAACTTACAGAGTGAAAAATTTGTACTTAAGGTCGTCTTTTTGTAAATAATTGTTTTCTCTATAAGAACGACTTAATCCTAGTTTTTAATACTATTAATGATATCTTATTGGAATCTTTAAAATTTAGATTGTATTTTTTTTCCGCTTAGAATTATTACCGCAAACTACAATTTTAAATCGCCTTCGTCTGGTAGGGAATGTGCTATGTAAGTCTACGGTTTTTTCACAAAAAATTTATTTTAAAGCTTCATGATATTTTTAATAGCTGAAAATAAATTTTGAAAATTTTATTATGCATATACCAAGGCAAAAAAACCTAAATTATCGGGATTTTTACCTCGAAATTAAAGAGGTTATTTTAATCCAAAACTATTGAAAAGGTTATTTTAATCCAAAATTACTCCTCGCGATCAACTTATTTTTAATCTTTAAAAACGAGGAAAAAAAGCTTTTTTTTAACCACGAAATTAAAGAGGTTATTTTAATCCAAAACTATATTCCTCACGATCAACTTATTTTTAATCTTTAAAAACGAAAAAAAAATATGACTTTTAATTCATTTCTGTAACTATTTTTCAGAAAAAAAGATTAAATTTAAAATATTGATAGAATGCATTTTAGAGCAACAATTTAGAAACCATTTGTAAACTGAGTTATAAAAAGACATCTCTTTTTGTCCTCATTTTAGGTGACGGAGTCCTCCGGTAGCATGCGACTGGTCACCCGTGCCCTCCTGCTACTGGTGGCCGTGTCTTTAATTTTCATTCTGTTATTGGGCCGCTGTGGACTGCGATTGGACGAAGATCTCGGATCAACATCATCCGGAAACAGTGACTTCCAGTACAGGCTGTCTCAACAATCTCCTGAATCCTACTATTTGGATCTCCTTCACAGAAGAGAAGAAGAACACAGACTGGAAATAAAAAATCTTAAAGACGAGATTACATCTTTAAAGAAAAAAGTAATTAATAATGTCTAGCAGATTGATAAGTACTGATTTAAATCAAATAAATCATTTTAATTATTCAAAAAATAAACATTGATTCAAATTGTTAAAATTAAAATGATTAAGGCTTGCATTTCAAGGAAACTGGAGCAGTGAAAATCGGAAATATAAACATTTCTAAAATAGCAAAATAATTCATAAGTTATTTTACAAGCTTATGTAACTTTTTGTATACATAGCAACTTCTTTGAAACAAAAAAAAAAATTAGTTAAAAAAATTTGCCAAGATCGTGTATTTGATGCTTTTAATATATTTATTATATTTATTATCAGAATGCATTTATATAAAAATAATTATTTTTTAAGTGAGAATGTTTTGGTTTAGAATTTAATAGTTACACGTTGAATGCCATGGGATCACCGGTGACCGGCACTGAGTTTGTTCGTAGCGCCACGGTGGTCACCGGTAATCAGCGAAGCCAAGATTATTAGAAACACATAATTCGAGTAAAGTTTTAAATTTTTTATATTATTATCGTTACTAAAATGGTTTGAATAAATTAATGCAATATAGAACACACAAAAATAGCTTTATTTATACACACAAAGATGCCAACTTGCTCCGGATAGCGAGTAAATATTTTCAAGTGGTAGTTTATTAATTGTGATTCTTGGTTTAATAAATTCAATTTAGTAGATTTTTATCCACCACTATTTCTAAACAATTCGTAGGCTTATATAATTCACCATTTTTTTTTTCAGATATGTTGTGCTAAACCTTTTAAAAAAACTAGCAAAATCTGTCTAATATTTGCAAATTTAGTTTGTAGTTATTTACCGTTTGGCTAAATGGGCAAGCCTTGTTAAATTAGCGTGGTATTCAAAGCGCTAATACTAAAATTTTAGCATTTGTTTTTGGTCCATTAATATTTTATTGGAAGAGAAATTTGTGTAGTGTCTTCAACGGATAGAAAATGAAGTTTATTCTGCCCTTTAATTGCAATTTTGTATTAGTTGTATAGCTCCATAAAATTACATTTAAATTTTTAAAGATTAGGCATCCTAGAAAACTTTGATCAAGATTTAAAATTTTTAAAAACTTTCAGTACTTGTAACATTTGTACTAAATTATTATCAGTTGAAATAATCAATAAAAAAAATTATGTTTAGAATAAAATACTTGTAATTTTTATGAAAAAAAAATCTTTAAAAAAAAAAAAAACAAGATTTTCTTACACTTTGAGAGATTGCAACAAAATTCCAAACATTTTATTAACATTTAATTCATATACTCAATATGTACCATGAAATAAATTAATTATTATTAGTATGGTTTCAGTTGCAAACATTTTGAAATCTATTTAATACTCAAGATCAAATACAGACGATATATAACTAATTGTATAAAAAATAATTTACTTGCTTCGATTATATTTTAAAATTTTCTTGTGGATTTTTTTTAATCGAAATCTTTCCCGCAGTTATAGAGTGCACATTTGTAAGGATTGCTGATTAGCTATTTAATTAATTATAATTGCATACTTTTTATCTGCATTTGATCTTCCCCTTTATCATTGTAGTTATGTGCCCTCAAACTACGGTTGTTTTCAAATAAATAATCCCAAGAAACTAAAGCGGTAAAATGTTACCTGATTGATAACTGAATTCGCTGCAGAAATATACAAATAAATAACAGTCGACATGTTTCAAGCTCTTCAAAAAAAGGTACTCATTATTAAGACTTGTCAGACGGGAATGCAAAGAAAAAAAAAGGACTTGAAAAAGTAAAGTTGCCAACGAAAAATGGAAAAATAAAGATGAGAAACAAAACTAGAAAAATCTCAGAAACCCAGAGAGAGAAAAAAGATTAAAAAAACAGAACAGGAAGAATCACAGTGGCCGAGAGGCAACGAAGAGTAAAATGCATTTCCACGCGTTATGGAGATGAGGGGAGGAAATAATATCATTAACAAGAAAATCAACATTCAAATGAATAAAACAAGATTCCAGGGCATCTAGATGAGCTAATATAACTGGGATGGAAATAATTCTAGCATTGCCGAAATTGATTTTATGCCCAAAATTCCAACAATTGAAAATTTCTCTAATTCTTGATCGTGTTCCTTAAGTTTAAATTTTAAATAGCATTTAGTTTTCCCGATCTTGCCAACGTATAACAAAATAAATCAAATCATTTTTGTTTCTTTACATTTGTGTCTAACAAGTCTTAAAAATGGGCGCCTATTTTTGAAAAGCTTGAAATCTATCGACTGTTATTTCATGCTTGTATATTTTTTAAGCAAATGAAATTTTCATTCATTTGCGTAAAAAGTAGTACGATTCCAAACAGGTAATACACTTATTTTGTTTTAACCTGCATAATTAATTTTTATAAGTAAAGGATTAATTTTTTTAGTTAATTAATTACGATAATTATTAATTTTTAATTGATTTATTTATATATTTAATTTATTAATTTTTGACGATAATTTTAATATGAATTTTTTTTCAGGTTACGGATCTACAGAAGCCTTTTGTGGATCCAGTTTCTATTCCAATAGTAGAGCCTCCTTCTAGGTCTTCGGATAGCGATTATCCAGGTGTAACTGAGTGCTCTGATTACTTGAAAAAGCAAGTTCAATCCGCGGAAATCCGGCATGGTGTCCAGCTGAACAATGAGTATGAAGTAGTGCCATTTACTCATTTCACTTTTGGGAGAGTGTATCCTGTCACCTTAGGACTAGGTAAACGAGTTGTTGAGAAACCAATAGGTTACAAGCGCAAAGATCTACTGGAAGTGTTCGTCCGTGCCCTCGATCTCATAAATCGAGACAAGAAAGGTAAACAGAGGTACACCGTGGATGATTTTGCTGAGGGTCTATTCCGCAACGAACCTACGACAGGCACACAGTATGAACTATATTTCAAAGAAAAGAACATATCCCGATCTTACCATAGAGTCATCCTGGCAAGACCATTTGGCCCTGTGCAGACATTAGTCAATGAAAAAGTGAGAACTACCAAAGAACTCATCAACGTGATACTACCTTTATCTGGTAGAATAGACGCGTTTAGGACGTTTATGGATCGTTTTGCCAAAGTTGCCATCAAGCACGATCGAAAAGTCTTCCTTACAGTTGTATACTTTGGAGAAGAGGGTCTCCATGACGTCCGGGTTATACTTACTAAAGTATCCAGAGAAACTAAGTTTCGTAATGTGAAACTCCTTACCCTGAATGAAACCTTTTCAAGGGGCAAAGGGCTACAAGTCGGGGTGCAACACTGGCCGAAAGGAGACGTTCTTCTATTTCTGTGCGATGTGGACATAGTGTTTACAAATCGTTTTCTGGAGCGTTGCCGTTTGAATGCCTCACCTGGTAAAAGGGTATATTACCCTATCGTTTTCAGCCTTTACAACCCTTCCTTAGTTTATTCTCTGCAGGGCAAAGAGACTCCAGCAGAAGCTGACCAACTCACTATTTCAAGAGACTCTGGATTTTGGAGAGACTTTGGTTATGGCATGACCTGCCAATACCGGAGTGATTTCCTGAGTCTGAAAGGTTTCGACGAGGATATAGTCGGTTGGGGTGGTGAGGACGTGATGCTGTACAGGAAGTACGTCCGAAGTAATATAGTCGTAGTAAGAGCAACCGATCCAGGTATATTCCATAGCTGGCATGAAAAACTATGCGACCCGGATCTGTCTGTTGACCAGTACAGAGCATGCCTCAGGTCCAGAGCTTTAGGAGAAGCTTCACATGCCCAGCTTGGTCTTTTGGCTTTCGGAGATGAGTTAAGAAAACACCAAAAGAACCTTGCGGCGATGAATTCTCCTATGACAAATGTTAATGTTGTGAATGTGATTGAGCGCCCTCAACATGCATAGTGTTCGGATGAACACTTCCATTGAAGAGTTTAGTGGAAATTATGCTAAGCCCTACTATTTCTAAATTTACGATCGGCTTTAAAGATAGATTTTCAATTTATTCTGTCAAGCCTTTAAGTAAGTTTGTTCTAAAAAAATAAAATGTTTCGAAAACAACTTTTTATAGTTTCCTGAAGGTAATCTATTTTCCCCCATAAAAGCGAAAATTATATCAGCTTACATATTTTTCCACTATTATCTTCAATCGCGACTAATTATCGTTACATATACAAAACTGTGATTATTTTTGTTTTATTCAACAAAAATATGAATCAAATTTAAATTTTTTTTAATTTAATGATCTTAGTAAACTTAGGTATGACTTCACAAGTCTATTCCATTTTCACAATATTAATTATGATAATTCTCATGATATAGCTCAAAGACATAAGTAATGTAGTGGCATTATTTGTTGAACTCATACATTGCAATATAAATCTGTGATTTATTTTAGTATTTTAATTTCATCTATCGGAAAAAGCTTTAAATTTTTAATTTAGATCTCTAATTAAATGAGTCCAAATGAACTTTGATGCCTAATTACATAATTTAACCTTTAAAAATTATTTTAAGCGTTTTAATTACATAAATGAAAATCATTAATCATTGATTTATGAACCATAAATCTGTCAACTTTCCTCAACTCCGTGTGTCGTCATTAAAATTTACCTACCATGCGATTAAACAACGCCTTTGAATTGACAGATCCTAAATTAATGATTAATTCCAGGTTAGAACCATCATTTATCATAGCGAATAATTTCGTATGGAATTTATTATTGATTCATGTCTTTTTAACTTATTTAGTCTTAGGGTTAAGTGTATGAAACGAATATCGAGACGTTTGCTAAAATGCCAAATTATGTTCAGTAACGTATCTAACGTAAATTCACCTGTATGAAACTGCTTAATTTACATTGATGTTTACATAATTCCGTTATTTTTCAACTAACAAAAATTGAGTATAGAAACTAGAAAGCTATTAGGTTTAAATAAATCTTAAATAACGCAATATTTCCTTCCTAATCCCAAAATCAACTACGTTAATTTGCATATCATTTAAAAGTTGCGAAGAATCTATGACGTTTTATGATTTTCCTTTGCAGTAACAATTATAAGTTGCATTTTTTTTAACCATTTGAATGTGAGAAGTGAAAATTAAGTACTTTCGCTTTAATCTCGGAGTTAAATTATAAATGTTAGCCTTATTTGTTTTTGCTAGATAAAGTGAAAATATATGCATTGAACTTACTCTTGAGTTACTTTACTTTGTTACATATTTCTTACTAAATCTTTCAAAATTTGTATTTACAAAGTGAAATTGTTTATGAAATGGTTGAAATATTGTTATTTTGTTTTACAAAATATTGTTTAATGGTTATTTTTTTTTACACAATTTAAAGGGAGTCGGTAAAGGCATATATCAATAATGCTTAAACTGACTTATCTCCATGCATTTCTTCTAAGAAACTACTTATTATGAGATATCACTTTGAAATTTTGGGGGGATATTTGAGATTACAACAGTTGTATGCTGTGATAATGTTTTAGCGTTAACAGGAATGCTTTTTGATGAAAACTTATAAAAAATTAAAAGTCCTACATAAGTTCATAATTTTATGAGGAAATTTTTTGCCTAAGATATGTATTAACAAGTTATCACAGTGTGAACATATATATGTAAATATTCTGCGAAAAAAACCTTAAGCAATATCTTGTTTAGATGCTGAGAAAAGGTACATTGAAAAAGGTCAGTTTTAGCATTATTGGTATCTGCTCTACCGATTTCCCTTAAGGTTGCTTAAATTGAAAATATACATAATGGATTTCCATTATGTATATTTTCAACTCAATATTTTCAACTTTTTCAATGACATTTTAATTTGTGACGAATGTTATAATGTGACGAATGTTAAACTTTTCAGAAAAACTAATTATTTGACTGCTTATACACGTTTAAATTCACTTAATTAGTGTTTTTACAAACTCTTTAAATATGTTATTTCTAAGCTAAAAACACGGGACTTTGTGCCTCTTAAACGAATAAAATTATTATCTAAACTGTAGAAATAATAATTTCGTAAAAAAACAAAATCAGATAGTGTCTCTTACCTCCAATATACACCTATAGATTGACTATAACTTAATAATAAATCAATCAAATAAGTATCAATCACTTTTTTGGAATTGAAATTTTAATAAAAAATGATTGAATTTTCAAATTTAAAAGTTCATTCAAGAGATTATTTAGTTCAGATATTGATGAAATACTAAATATTTTCTACCTACGTCATAGTGGTTGAAATTGGCGATGAAATAACAGTAAAAGGTACTAAATGGTTTTTTAAACAAAACAAAAAAACAAAAAAGACTGGTTTATTGTAATTAATGTGGAAAGTTCGAAAGTGTCGGGTATTTCTTAAACTCTTGAATTCACTCACATGCTCTCCGTACTTTACCTTTTTAACAAAGTGTGCTTGTAGCTCTCTTTCGCCTTGAAAGTAGATATCCTGCATAAGTCTTCCACATTTTCTATCCACCAAGTGTGTGTATATTTGTAAATTTAAATTGTGTATATTTCTACATAGAAAAAAAAAGATTTTTAAATTACCAATAATGTTTAGCAAATTGAATGAGGATTTTGGAACATTATTTTAAACATATTTATTGTTATTTTACTTTATTAAATATATATTTTAAATATTGAATGCATCTAATCAGTATTTTATAAAAAACATACAGCAATTAAAATTCTGATATTTCCTCACTTCGTCGTGAAGCTTTATAAATTCTTACTTCTAATGGATTATACTCTTGGTGCAATTGACGATGTCACTTATGTTTTTTGTTATTTTAAAAAAAAATTCTTTCTGTGCAATTTTTATTTATTTTGTTAATTTTTCTTTTTAATATATGATCTTCATCTATTTTATAAGACTATTGGTGGCATAACATAATTTTTTATTCAAATACATGAAATAAAACTTATTTTCTTATACGTAAAACTACTTAACGCAAATCTCTGATGATTATGTTACTTTATTATTTTTAAAGATTGCTCTCTGTTCAATTTCTGTTTGATTTTTTATTAATTTTTCTCTATAACTATATGACATCAATTTTCTAAGAATTTAAAAAAAAATTAGGAATAATTTTTCTATAAATAAATTTCTATATTTCGTAATTTTCTCGCAAACTAGAGTTTCATCTAAAATGTTTTTTGCGGATTTTTAAAAACAAACTAACGAGCATTCTATCCTTACTAAAAGATTTTCTAATGAAATTGTTTTTACTTATATCTAATTTAATATTTATTTTATATATGTGTCTATTACATTCCTCTAGTCAAAATTTAAATTTAATGTGATAAAAAAAGTAGCCTTTGTTAAAAGCATATTCTTTTTTCTCGTTTTATTATTCATATGGTATATTTTAATGTTTTATTCTACATTTGAATATGCTTAATTTTTTTAGAGAAATTAGGCTTTGTAAAAATATGTATATTTGATTGTATATATGACAGTTCTTTTTATGTGTCTGAAAGTACTCCTACAGCTTTCAAATAAATTGAATTATGGTTTTTTTCCAACTTGTGTTTCTTTTCGATAATTTTGAATGATTAACAAACTTCACTGATGAGAATGAGTTAACACCTATTTTCAGCCAAAGGTGCGTAAACCCATCATTTCAATAAATATTTTTTATTAACACTGTCGCTTATGCTTTTCACTAATTTTATTTGTCTGCTATTGTCAGGGGTTCTGAAAACATCTATAAAATATTAGCAATTCAATTGGAGTAAACACTTTCTGTTGAGAAATTTTTAAACTACGCTAGTTTGTTAATTAAAATGGTTTTTGACAAATTCGACGTTTTGAAAAATTTATAATTATTAATCTTACTTTTTTTATGATGGATTGGATTAAAGGGGCTAGTTTTGTAAGTTAAATAAAGCAAATTTCATGAAAAAAAGACTAGTGTTCAACTAAATTGTTAGTCTATTGATTTTACAAATGGTGCACGTAGTGGCTCAGGGGATATAGCGTTTGCTTTCCAATGAGGTGAACCAAGTTGGAATCCTAACCATGACTGGTCGATTCGAATTCCGTACCCAGCTTGCACTGACGTAAAATATCCTCAGTGGTTAACGGATCCTGGGTTTGAGTCCCCTTGCCGTCGGACTAACCGTGGAAGGTTTTTGTCGCTTTCCTCTCCACGTAACACTAATACGGGTACGCTCCATAAAAAGTTCTACACGAAAGCAAAATTTCTCTAAATACCTGATCCAGGAGTTCCCTTGTCATATGGACTACGGTTATAAAATAAAATTCTAAAAAATGCTGCATGTACGCAGCAGTTTATTCCTTATATAAAATATTTTTCATACACGAAACTTTTTTGTCTCAAATAATTTTCAATTAAATACTATCTCATGAATGAAATGAAATAAGCATTTTTCAGTGAAAATAATACCCTATTTAATAAAATTTCTCTGCTTAGTTTAAAATGGGCAAAACTATATTTTTGTTAAAGGCAAAATTCAGGTAAGTTGTTCCTATTGCGAGTAAAAACGCAACACATATGTACATATACACATACATTTTATAACCTATGTGTTTGATCGTTATAAAAAATGTTTTACATCATAGGATTAATAAAAAAAATTTACCCACAAAATCCGAGACAGAATGATAGATGTTCATTGTTACCAACTCTACAGTTTCTGTAAGGATAGGAGGGTTGCTATTTATATTTCTGGCCTTGGCAACAGTAAGTGTTGCTAGGCGACCGCAGACGATTTTAATCGAAAGTTTGATATTTTTAAACATAAATTCAGCAGACGATTTACCATTATAGCTTCATTTGTGTTGTTGACAGTAAATTGAAAAGTTCTTCTCTTTCAAAAAATGGAATTGAATCGTGAACATTTTCGTGCCATTATTTTTCATAACTTTCGACGTGGATTGTCAAGACAAGAGTGCTTCGATGAACTTAATTCTTTATTCAGCGATAAAGCGCCATCCTACAGCACTGTAAAAAATTGGTATAACGAATTTAATCGTGGTCGATGTTCGATCCAGGACGAATCCCGTGCAGGTCGTCCAAAATCCGTTGTTGTGCCAGAAAAGATCGATGCTGTGCGTGAACTGATAAAGCAAGATCGTCATGTGACATACCGTGAGATAGAGGCGTCTTTGGACATTAGTATGACTAGCATCAATAAAATATTGCATGAACATTTGAGCGTAAAAAAAATTTGTTCGCGTTGGATCCCGCATAATCTGACAAACGCTCAAAAAAAGGCTCGTGTCGATTGGTGCAAGGAAATGTTGGAAAAATACGTTCAAGGTACATCAAAGGCTGTGTATAACATCTACACAGGTGACGAATCATGGATCTATGCATATGAGCCGGAAACAAAACAGCAATCAACTGTATGGGTCTTCCAAGACGAGGCAAAACCAACAAAAGTTGTTCGAGGAAGAAGCACATCGAAACAAATGATTGCCTGTTTCTTCGGCATTAACGGTCATGTGGCAACAGTGGCGTTAGAGCAACGCAGGACGGTCAATTCTGAATGGTACACGACCATTTGTTTGCCAGAAGTCATCGGAGAAATTCGAAAAAAGCAGAAGAACAGGCGAATCATTCTTCATCATGACAATGCGAGCTCTCACACATCGACTCAAACAAAGGCATTTCTGACGGAGCGAAAGATCGAACTGATGGGTCATCCGCCGTACAGCCCTGATTTGGCACCCAATGACTTCTTCTTATTCCCACACATCAAAAATAAATTACGTGGACAACGATTTTCGACCCCCGAAGAAGCGGTTGATGCATTCAAAACGCATGTTTTGGAGTTACCTCAATCGGACTGGAAAAAGTGCTTTGAAAATTGGTTCAAACGCATGCAAAAGTGTATTGATCATCATGGAGAATATTTTGAAAAACAATAAAACCAATTTCGATCCTACATATTTGTTTTTTCCTTATTAGGCCAGAAATATAAATAGCAACCCTCGTATTACCATAATGAAAGTTGTAGCAAAATTTGCATTTTTGATATTTCATTCTTGATTTAATAGTTTTGGTTTAAAATGACTTTGATCACTTTATATACCTATCAACATTTTAAATTGCATATTTAATTGTCAAATTCTGTACATTTTTGAAGTGTTACTTGGATTTCTAAATTTCAAAAAATAGTTCTTTGTTAAATTTTCGTCTTCAAAGTACAAGTGTAGAAAGTTTTTCCGAAATTTTGTAACAATCGGAATTAAGCTACAGAAGAGAAATCTTTGACCTAACCAGATCAAAACAAATATAATGCTTTCATTAAAAATGTGGAGGAAAAACATGTGCAGCAACTAGCACATCAGAAACAGTACCTCACTTTCCTGTGTAAATGATATACAATCCTCCCAAATCACCTCTATTTTCCATCTAAAAAAGGGTGAAGCATGCAGGGGAGATTAGAAGAGTTTTTAGTCATTGTTTATCGAGACATAACAAAGCCTTCTGTAAAAAAGTACATTTTGGCATTAATTTTTCTTTATATTTTTTATAATTACTAGACTTTTAGTCTAAAATTGTTCTTTATTTTCCAAAATGTTAAAATAACGTGTTGCCGCACAAATAAGACGAGGTGTGCTATAGTAATTAAATTTAGAATATTTTTTAACAGCATTTCATTTTATTTAATAATGGACTCAAATTTAATAAAAATGGATTTTTCTGCTATAAAACTTAAACTTCTATCTCCACCAACAAATCATATAACGCTTTCATTCAATAATTATCTTAAATATCCTATAGTGAGTACGTTCCTTGTTCAAAAATATCCCAAAATCATAGACGATTTTAAGAGTCATTTAAAAAAACTTAGACATAGAATTAAGCAGTTTGTTGCGTGAGAAAAAAAATTTCTAATCGGGAAACAAGAAGTCTGTACTCACCAAGTTTCAAAATTAGTTTCCCAAGTTCATTAACAGATCAAGCTAACTAAAAGAAGTCAAAAACAATATGTACAAAATCAATATCATTTACAGCAACAGCGAAATATTTCAGTTGAAATTGAGTGACAGGTATCGGAAAATATTGCGTTTTATAGTTTTTTTCAGTCATTTACGCCATATTTTCGTAATGTTTCATAACTTTTAGATTTGGTGATAAAATTTTTAGGCAGATTGCAGACAACCGTACACTTCAATCTGTTCCAGTTTTTCCTTAAAACCTTTCAAATCGTCGGTTTTATTGTTGATTACCAGTTATGTTAGCGATTTCAACAGTTCTAAATGTCAATAAGCTATTGGCATTTAGAACTGTTGATATTTTCTGAAGATGTTTTTCATTAAAACCTTTCAAATCGTCGGTTATATCGTTGATTACCAGTTATGTTAGCGGTTTCAACAGTTCTAAATGTCAATAGGCTATTGACATTTAGAACTGTTGATGTTTTCTGAAGATGTTTTACATTAAAATCTTTCAAATCGTCGGTTATATCGTTGATTACCAGTTATGTTCGTGGTTTCAACTGTTCTAAATGTCAATACCTTATTGACATTTAGAACTGTTGAAGTTTTCTGTAGATGTTTTCCATTAAAACCCTTGAAATCGTTGATTAGCAGCTATGTTAGTGGTTTCAACAGTTCTAAATGTCAATAGCTTGTTGATGTTTTCTGTAGATGTTTTTAATTAAAATCCTTCAAATCGTCGGTTATATCCTTGATTACCAGTTATGTCAGTGGTTTCAACAGTTCTAAATGTCAATAGCTTATTGGCATTTAGAACTGTTGATGTTTTCTGAAGATGTTTTTCATTAAAATCCTTCAAATCGTCGGTTATATCGTTGATTACCAGTTTTGTTCGTGGTTTCAACTGTTCTAAATTTCAATACCTTATTGACATTTAGAACTGTTGATGTTTTCTGTAGATGTTTTCCATTAAAACCCTTGAAATCGTTGATTAGCAGCTATGTTAGTGGTTTCAACAGTTCTAAATGTCAATAGCTTGTTGATGTTTTCTGTAGATGTTTTTAATTAAAATCCTTCAAATCGTCGGTTATATCCTTGGTTACCAGTTATGTTCGTGGTTTCAAAAGTTCTAAATGTCAATAGTTTATAAAATCGTATGTCAACTAAAATTCAATACATTATTTTGGTATAATTAGTGATAAATAAAATAAGGGGTTAGATATTACTCTATATTAAAGACACCTGGGACGTAAAAGCAACTTGAAAAATTAGGTTTTATGGCCCAGTTACAAAAAAAAGATGAGACACGGAAAAGGGTATACAATTTATATTGCTCTATAAAAATAATCTCATTGCCCTTTTACGATAGGATCAAACTCAACTAAATTTATAAGTAGGGTAAAGTGTGCTTTATAAAATTTTAACTCAAAAAGATCTCGGGCAGTTATTCCTTTGAATAACAGATAAAATTGAAGAAAAGAGGGTATTTCTAGCTTTATATTCCGAAAGCAAACTTATTTTATTGCTTTCTTCCAAATACTCTCACTCAAAAAATGTATAAAATTGCTCAAAAATAATCGAAATTTTTCGGTCATTTAGATAAGAATAAATCGCGCAATTTGCGCATAAATGGAATTTCAGTTTCTCAACAGAGTTTTTCGATTTAAATTGATTTTCAACGTTTATTAAAAATTTTACTATGTTTTGATTTACGTCAGTTTCTTTTTGATTTTTTTAACGCTAAAACTGTTTATAAAATGGTTTTGTTTTTCAATAATATCATTGATTGAATATGAATTTTTTGAGTGCTTGAAAATTTTTGTAAAGTGCTTGAAAAGTTTTTAAAAAGTGCTTATTTTTGATTCAAAGATTTGGCTACGCACCCTGAATATTTCTTAAAATTTATTTTTTGTATGCAATAATCTTTAGATAAACGAATTTTATAATTGTGTGAAAAACATTTTTAAATTCGCTTAATAATTCTTCGAGATATGGCGAAATACGCAAAAAGGGACATTAACAATTAGGGGTGCAAACTTTGGATCGCTCTCCTGACTAAACTATGGTAACGATATTTCCCAGATTGCAGCTACCCTCTATATTTCGGGTGTCAGAAATCGGAAGCCATCGAAAAAAAGTTATGTTTATTCAGAGAAAGTATGCTTTTGTGTCCGATTTAGTAACTCAAAATACAGTTTGCACTAATTAATTAGCATATTTTAGGTCACCCCCATGAACCATTAAGAATTAGTCCTAGAACATGAAGATCCGATTATTAGATCAAGAAAGTTTCAGGGTGGATCAAAAATTTTAGGTAGATCAAATCAGGTAAATAAATTTTTTTTTGCACTGTACAATAGATTTGGCCTAAATTGATCTGCTCGGTCATTTCTGTAGTTGAAAGCAGGAGTTTCGATTCGTTGATTTTGCGGTTCTCAACTTTTTTAGTTGTGTGGACCACCAATTTTGTAAAAAAATTATTAATTAGTGCAATCGCTATTTTAAACTATGAAATCAGATACAAAATCGTAGTTTTGTGGATAATTATTCCGATGACTCTCACATTCGGGTATAGTCATATGCAGCTACAACATGGTCCTAAAACTCTAGTCAGAGAGAGTGTGAAATATTTGAATGGAATATTTTTTCTTTTTATTACGCGGAAATTCTTCCTTTCTTTGTTCCTGAAAACAGTTTTAGAAATATAGTAAATTTCTAAAACTCTCTCTTTATTTTTAGATTCAGATGTTAGTCATCCCTCATATTATATTGATAATCAAGAATATGAGTAGGGTAAACTAACCAGTGAAGGAACAATTAAGCTTCGCTTGCCTTTTAAAAAATCATATTAATATCAAAATTCGAAATTGTAGTTAAATGACAGTGTCAACATATTTGTTATTAATTGCAAATTATGTAAAAAAAAATTTTAGAGAGCTTACATAATATTGTTTAAAAGTTTTGGAGGTTCAAATAACAAGTAGTAAGAAGACCAAGTGAATGAACAGTTCTTACCAGTGAATGAACACCCAGTAAAGGAACACTTAACTTTGGTTATTTTTTAATGCTCTTTATGAATTTATAAGTCATACAAATATTTAAAAACAAGTCTATTCTTGAAATTATAACATATAAATACTTGGAAAACGTTAACTTTTTTTTGTAATCATGAATTGAAAATTAAAGTGTCAACATATTAACACATACTGTTCGTTCACTGGGAAATCTATGCCCACTAAGGGAACATGTCTGTTCCCTCACTGGTTGGAAGTTGCTTTTCGTATTTTTAGCATACTTTTGATGCGGAACATCACTAAAGGTACAAAAAATTAAGGTTTATCTTTTATTCTCATTAACTTAGAAGAAAAACCAGTAAAGGAACACTTGTTCCTTCACTGGTTTTTCATCGTTTGGTGATCCAGTGAATAAACACCCCCTTTTCTCAGTACTTTATTATGCTATGATGCTTAAAAAAATAAAACGCAACTTCAATAACTATATTTTGAATTCTTATTTTCACATCGAGAAAAATATAACAATTACATGCAATTTATTCCACTTCAAAACATATAAATACAAACACTTACCTTATAATTTTTTCAAAGAAACAAGGTGTTGCAGGGATAATAACAAATTCAAAATTTTTCCAGAGAAGTCTATTTGACCAGGTAATCCAAAACATTGCTAGATGACTTCCTATTGTTTGGCAGTAAGCTATTGTTACCAATCAATCTAAAGAAAAACTTTCAAATTCTTATTTTTTATCAATATATATGAAATGTTCCTTCACTGATTGGTTTACCCTACATCGATAAAAATGTTTATTTAGATAAAATGCGTTTTTGTGTTAAATTTGTAATTTGTAACATCAACTGCACTGATCACACCTCGAGCTAATAAGTTAGCATCTCAGTATTTAAGAAACCGATCATTATAGATCAAAAGTTTTTTTTTACTTTCATCTTTTTTTAATGCAGATTTTACTGGCTACAAAGTGGTCTGAAGCACAGCAGTCGCAGACAGATATAATAAAAGGAACATACAGTCGAACTCGTTTATAACGAGCACAAAGGGACCGTAACATGTACTCGTTAAATCCGAGTGCTCGTAATAAACGGGTCCTTAAGGCAGGCTTGCAACCAGAAGAGGGGTGGGGGGTTGAGAGGTCAAATTATTGAGTTTACATAAAATTTCATTAATACTTACTTACTTTAATTAATTTAATTAAATACTTTTCTTAATTTAATGATAACTATCCCCCCAACCAGCAAAAAATTTCTAGTTGCGCTACAGTCTTAAAGGAAAGAAGCAATAAACGGAAAGAAAAATAAAGGAAAAGATTCTTACCAAAACATTTATTTTTTTCATTAATCTACATATTTAAAATAGTAGTTTGTTAGCTTACTTTGAAGTTTCAGTTCGCGGTTTTTTTTTATTTTGCGCGCATTTCTTATCATTTTGAAAAAAAGATTGCAAGACAGAAAAATATTGCTCGCTAAAACCGGGTCTTGCTCGTTAAAAGCGACTTCTGTTCCATAGACTTAACATTGATCCAACCAAATATTCTCGTTTCCCTCGGTAAATCCGAGTTCTCGTTAAATCCGAGCTCGTTATAAACGAGTTCGACTGTATTCGTGTCTAAAGTTCATATTAGATTTTTTTTATAAAAGAAAAAAATTATAGGGAACAAGCTTTAGATAGTAAAGTTAATAGTCATGGGTTAGAGTCTCCTTGCCTTCAGGCTAACCGTGGGAGGTTCTCGTGGTCTTCCTCTCCATGTAACGCAAATGCGGGCTAGTTCCATCAAAAAAGTCCTCCACGAAGGCAAATTTCTCTCTATGCTTTATCCAGGAGTTCCCTTGTCTTCTAGATTGGGTTCAAAATTACAAGGCTACGGAGTTGAATATTATTAGTCATAAGCCCAAAATTGGGTCGGCTGCTCAACGACTGTTATAAATAAGAATTACAAACGCATGAGTACCAAAATATAAAATTAGGGTCCTCCTTGTCTGAGTGGTATCGCCCGCCAAACGCTGTGTGAAGCATGGAGGTAGCGGGTTCGAATCTCGCTGCTACCTTTGATGTATCTTCGTATTGTCCTCAATATTGTACTATCTGTCTTTCAACTTGACAAAGGTTTATAAGCCTTAATTGAGCACACAAACCTGCTATCCATGTTGTATCAATAAAATAGCATAACATAACGACTGGACTTGTTTAGCTTGTTACCTCTCCTACGAACTATGTTTATATCCATGAAAAATATTCAGTTAATACGTAGTTAAAATGAATCAGAAGTTCTGTGCAAATTGGATTTTAAAGGAAACCAAATTTAAAACTTTCAGCTCTCAACAAGCGACAGGTAAGTCTTAGAAAAGTAGTTTTGAAATTCTCGAACATGGCTCTATCAATATTTAATCTACTTTTTTTTTTTTATTTATTTTTTATGTGTATCAGGGACTACTTTAAATATAAACTTATTAGGTTTAAAAAAAATTTCGTGGGGTAGCATATGTATGCAATATTTGAAAATGGCCAATTATATGCTTTTATTTTTTTATTTTCCTCTTTTTAGTTTTTTCTCGCTTGAATTATCATTGTTCTTTTCAGATTCAAAAAAAAATTAAATAAATAAATAAATAAAAATAGTTCAGAGTACTTTTTTGTGAATTTCTGATCTATTATTCCCTTCTATTCCCCATTCCATTTTTCATAATGAAACTAATTATGTTTCAATTTTTCGTTTGTTTTAAAAAAACTCTTCAAGTCACTAAAGTTTCACCAAAAAAGATTTGTTATTAGAAAATCAGCAATAAAACAGCAATGAATGTGGTAATTAATAATATTTACGTTGAACTACAATTCCAGAATTTTTTACTTTTTTTCTTTGATATAATTTAATTTTATTTTTCAAAAAAAAGCTAAAATTTAATAATATAATAACAAATTACCTATAATTAAAGCAAAGGTTTTAATAATGCGTATCCAGTGCTTGCATTGAAGCTTCGTACTCTGCCGTAACTTGTCACGTCATAACCCACATTTTTACAATTAAGCTACAAATTTTTTTGCCGCATCTACTACAGAGAAGGTAAAGTGTTGCAGCTAGGACCAATTTAAATGCGTTTTTTTTTTCATGCAGATCGTATTCATTTAAATAACTCAAAAATTTTGGGCGAAATACATTAAATGCCTGCCTGCTAATAAAAAATTTCTGTAAAACAATATTGTCATGCACTTCCGAAAACAAATTAGGGAAAATTGATTCAAGGTACAACATGACATTGCATTTTGAACCATTAAATGTTGCATCTTGGATAACATATACTTATTTTGCGTATTTGTTGTCTGGACCTCTTTGACGATGCGCCTTAAAAGATGCTTAGAAATTATATTCCGTTTGCCATTGTTAGTGGCCACATAAATATAAATTTATTATTAAATTAATTTGATAACAATATATTGATGAAATTTGTAATGCTCTCACATTAAAAGTTACATGTATTGAAAGCAGCCAGACAACACCGCGAAAATGAGCCAATGCCTTCATTTCACTTTCCAAACGTCTGAAAAAGTGAACCTTTTCACCAAGCTTTTCCGCCAGTCGCCAACTCAAGCTGGATGAATAACATGAGGTCCAAAGTACAAGACTTTCACTTATTATCTAAGAAAGAGACCATTTTCTGAAACAGAATTAGAGCTTTTGTTAGACATAATTACAGTTGATAATTTAAATTTTAACAAGGATTGAGTTTAAAATTTTCGTGTAATATTCCTCTTTGTACTTCATTAACAAAACTCAATTCATTCTGTTGTTGTTTCTAATGACACTTGGACAAATCAAGGTCACGAGCTATAGTCCTTTTTGCGAATTAATTCATGTCTACCTGTCGTTTAACAAGAGAGCAACGCAAGGGTGAAAGTATGTCGTAACTCAGAACCCCACTGATAGATGGCAGCACCACTCATTCGTAAGACCATTTCCTCAATTTAGGCATAGACCTGAAGGCGCTGAAATTTATTCCAGATCCGTGTACCCATGGTACTGCTCAGCGGAAGACCACAAGACTTATTGATTCCACAGATTTTACGAGCACTTATATCGTATGCACTCGGTGGGTCTTAGTGGAATCGAGGATCGAACCATTGCCTCTACGCAATGGAGTCCGATTCTGTAAAGTAAGATTCTGTACCGTAAAGTACTCGACTTCGCGTGCAGGTCGTTGGGCTTCCGAAGCGGGGGTGTCATCCCTTCTGCAGAGGATCAAAATTGTGATGGTATGTCGTCGGGTCATCCTCAAGAATGTTTCCCAGACCATCGCCAATAGTCCATTTGTGCAGCTCTAGTGCGACGTAAATGAACTACAACCTTATGTTTGGTACACTAAGGCAAACAGAACTATTTTATTTTTTATTAAAAAAGTTTTTCTTGGTGTCTTCATTATTTCAAATTAATTTCCATGATAGATTTAATTTTAGCTAATTAACCACAACCTACTTTTTTCGTGAATAGTTTTCGTAATAATGTAAGAATAGTAAATCATTCATCCACGAATCTTTTACCCCAAGCAAACTTTCATTTGCATAAATATTTCTCATTAGCTTTGTTCGATTAATCTTTTTAAAATGTCTAACGTTCGATTATTATTCCCTGTGGCTGACAAATACTAAAAATGTCATCCAAATCCCATAACCATTCGATAATACTCCCCCTTAAATGAGAACTCATTTCCTAACGAATTACTACCAATAATCAGAGACAGCCGGAAGCGGTCATCTTAACGGAAACTACTTTCTGTGTCCGAAGTAAGTAAAAAGACAAAATGGTGAGGAATCGAAGAAAAGCTAATTTACATACAGATATTGTAAGGTTGCGTTTGATGGAGTTTTGTTCTTTTTCACGAAAATGAGCCAATTAGCGAATTACCTGAAGCGAATTACCTGACTTAGTTTAGGAGGAGAAAATTGGAAAAGTTATAAAAATTCTTGTAGATGAATTGTTTCGTTTCGTAAGATGGAATATTTCAATTTTTGGTGTGCATATTCTACTTCATTAAGTTAAACCTGACAGTTGTGATGAAATGGTAATTTGATTTTAAAAAAGCGGAAAAAAGCGAACACGAAAAGTAAGTTGTAATAATGTTAGGATAAATGCTAAATGTGCTCAATTTACATAGTGTACAAAATAAGAGGAAATATTTCTTTAATTTTTCATAAAATCCGTCTGAATCAAGGGTTTATTCCTACTTATTTCAACACCATGAAAAAATCATACGGATTCAGAATAGTTTCTATTTTTAAAAAACTTTATAAATCTAAAAGTGCTCAATTTATATGTAAAGTGTACAAAATAAGAGGAAATATTTCTTTAATTTTTCATAAATCCGTTTGAATCAAGCGTTTATTCCTACTTATTTCAACACCATGAAAAAATCATATAGATTCAGAATAGTTTCTTTTTTTAAAAAACTTTATAAATCTAAAAGTTTTTTTTCTTTTTTTTTTAACTTTTTAATGCAAACCCAATATCTTGAACTAATTTTCTTAAATTTACTGTATATTTTTACGTAGAATGTAGGTAATAATTCAAACTAGTGGTTTGTGCCCCCTGCTCGCTAACGCTCGCCAACCCCCGAAAATTGCTACGCAGTCTTATATGGTTTGCTTCGCAAACCAAGCTCGCTTCGCTCTCTACTAACTTAGGTGCATTGCAAATGCACAAAATTCTAAGAATTCAAAAGAATCATTCAAATCCATATCACAACTTTTTTTAAAAAAAAAATTACATCTTTTTAGTAAATACTAAGTCAATTTCTAGTAAATACTAAGTCAATAAATTTGAATTCAAATAAATGACATGTAATTCGTTAAACCTATTAGAAATGTGCGATAGTATAAAATCTTAAAGCGTAACAGCACGACTGAGACTCATTTTTCAATGAATAACTAATAACAATAATAAGACAAATAAATTCGTGATATAAATCAAAAATCGTCAAATAAATTCGTAATGTATAAATTCGAGAAAAAAAGCGCTCTCGACAAAATACTAAAATGGAAATCTATCGACAAAGACTACTCACTTCTGCCTAGCTTAATAGTATGAGATTGCGGCAGCTGATAATGCTCTTTCTGGTTATTCCAGTTTCCGTTTTTAAAAGCGTTATATGTTGAGCCACCTCAGCTTGATTTGGCATGTGACATTTTTAGCGGCAATCATTGGTCGATTTTCTAGCGTTGCCATTCGGGGAGTTGTAATGAGGCTTCTTTTTTGTCGACGTGTGAAAGAAATATATATATATAGATACCTTACGTAACTTAAGAAATTTTTTTTTTGACATAGAAAATTGGTGCAATGATTGAAGTTGATTTACTATTCTAGTCTAAAATAATTGATTCACAATAGTAATTGAAAACCAACGTATGTTTGATACAAATTTAATTCTGTTAATAATTTTAGTATATTAATCATGCGAAAAAGAATCCTTCAAAATAAAAAATATGTTCATGAATCATCATCGATTTAAATTGTTCAAAGCTATAAACAAAACAAAAGAAAAAGATAAAAGTAATTCATCTTTCTGCAGTTATTTAAAAGATATAAGACATTTATTTTCTTACTTGCAAAATTTAGAGACATATTATACTGTATTTTAACACTAAACATGCCATAACCGATCAAATGACAGTTTAAGAACTTTTACATTGGAAATGCGCTTATCCTCTTGTCGCTTTTGCACATTTGACTTCATGACTTTTTCTAACAATTATATACAGTTAATAATCCATTATTATTTTTTTAAATATTTTTTTCGTTTCGAATAATACTTGTCATATACCTATTTCCACAACAACAGGTCATTTGACCCGGAGAACAATTTATTGCTTCATAAGGTGATCGGATCAGAAATTACGATGCAATGCATGTTCAACGTATTGCATTTGATTATAGTTGCACATTTCTGCAAAGACTGTTGCGTAGTTAGTTCAATCCGAATAACTGTGAATTCAAATTTCAAGAAAGTACCTAAAATTTTAGATTGGTATTTTTGTGTAATAAAAAGCGACAAATTTGGTAAAGTTGTTAATATTTTATTTTGATAGCTTTACTTCATTTCTAATTATGTGTTTTTTATCCAGAAAAAAGTCGAAGTAATCAAAACAGCTCAAGTTCTTAGAAGAAATAACACTAATTATAAGAATTATAATTCTTATATATTCTTATAATTATAAGAATAATTATAAGAATTATAATTCTTATATATTCCTATAATTTTAAGAATAATTATAAGAATTATAATTCTTATATATTCTTATAATTACAAGAATAATTATAAGAATTATTCAAAAAATAATATTTAG